GTAATGAAAGTTAAAGTTAAGACTACTGTGCCCAGTTATGGCTAAGTATGTTTCCGTTTACTGCTGTTGGGGTTATTGTGTGAAATCCAGGCAGAATTCCCCTTCAGTCAGAGCACTGGTTACACACAGCTCCAGGCCCAGTGTGTTAAACATTATTTTTCCCAGTGTGGCTTTCTCGAGGGGGGTTGGCACGGGGATTCAGTTTAGAGAGAGATTGCGTGACAGTCAGGCATTGTGGTTTAGAAAATCCGTCTGTCAAGTGTTGCAAGGAGGGGAAGAAATCTTGGAATTTGGCATAGACTGGAGCGTTGGGTGAAGCCTTATAATCTTATGAGCTCTGTAGTTCAGTTGCTTGTGGTTTTTCAAAACCTCAAGCCAAACGTTGAGCACTTTGCTGTTTGTGTATGCCCTCCAACCCAAAGGATGGAAATCCTTCTTTTCACTCTCATGTCGACTCTCCGTGTAAATAGCGTTGTTACCTTCCATTTGTGTCGAGTTAATGAATCCTATTCAAATGTTGTCTGTGAGTTTGTTAGGAAAATTCTACGACTTGAATACATTGACTTTATGATTAGAATTTTATTAGAAGTTGAGCATTTCAAAGAGACCGTTTTAAGATTATACAGTAAAATTTAGCGCAACATTAATGGAAATAATTAGGCGAAATGTAATAAAATTAGGACAAAAATTGAGCTTTTGAGGGATAAAAGTTTTATCTCAGCTAATCTCGTTCACGCTAGGGCTGAATGGTTTGTCCAAAAATCAAAATTGCAGTTATTCTTTACCAATATTGCGACTTTATTGCGATTTTTCTTTGCACCAAACACAAGCGTGTCAATGATTTACAGGGTTTCAGGTTTTTTATGACCTTGAAAGCCTGCTTGTCCAGAATCCAGTGTTGCAGGACTTTACTGTAACATTTGCACAAAAAAGTTTTTACTTTGACTATAAAGCATTGATCTAGGTGCTAGCTGCAACCCTCTGTGCTCTTTTGTTCAACAGAATGCCCACTTTATTCATATTACCGCCACCTAAAGGGCTAGAGGGAGAAATTTAGAGTATTGCTCTTGTTAAACGTATTGTGATTTAAAATTAAGTGTTTCTGTGATTTGTAAATTACATTTCTCTACATTGTGATTATACTGCAAATGCAATTAATTGCCCAGCCCTTGTTCCACCTACTTCTGAATCATATCCAGTCCCAGATTGGTTAATGCAATGTGACGGATTTACGCATCCATCGCTCTATTGACAGTTTTGCTTTTATTCACCTAAATCACTGAAAATGCATATTTTGCAAACCCTTGGTCTCAAACCCTTAATTTGTTTCCTATCATATTGTTAAATGGGGATAACAACCATAAATAAAGCATATATAACCTGATTAAAAAGGTACAGAAGGTGAGAAAGGTTATCCTATATGTGATTATGTCCCGATTCTTGAGATATTGGTCTAGACTGTGATCCAGACTTTTGGGTTCAGAATGGAGCTGGTCAGTTCGATTATAGTTTTTCCTATGTAGGGGCTGCTGAGACAAACTGAAAACTGTTTCATAGTTAATTATTCATAAATCTAAAGCACTTTGCTGTTATGTGTTTTAATCGGATTTCTTTATTTTTAATACAGCTAATTCAAAGCACACAAAAAAGTAGAAATCACAAGTTTAAATTACTGAGGTTTTAACCAAGGCTGCAGGGAACGTTTCTAATGATAATGACAAAATCTAATTTGATTCCTTTAGTTTAAAACTGAAAAAGCAAAATCAACCATGTCCTTAAAATTTTGACTGATTCAACTGAGGCAGGGGTTCGGTTAAACTCTTAAATAATTTGTGATCCCATTTTCACGTTTGTAAAACCATTTTGTCCCTTCCTGTCTATTTTATGCATTTTATCATTGCTGTGAGCCATTGTGAGGGACAGAGGTAAAAAGCATGAGGAGTCACAGGGATTAATACAAAACTGGGTTTTTATTTTTAACCCCCCAAAAAAGAAACTTGCAAAATATACATGGGTTCAAGTCATTAAAGAGGTCAACAGAAAAGAGAAAATGTAACTCTATAAACTAACTGACTGCATAAACAAACATAACTAACTTAACAAAGAAATTACAAACAAGGGTATATATATACTAGCTGATAGACCATTAACAGATTTGGGGTAATTTAAACTAACCAAACAAGCACAAATTACAAAACACAGTAGTACAGTTAGGTTTGGCAATAAACTAATCTACATCTTAGAAAAATGAAAACACACCAACCGCAAAACAAATCCTAAGTGAAAATGCAAAAATTACAAAAATAAAGAAAATTCAAATTCCCCCCTTCTAGCAGCAGCTGATGGAAAAGTCCAGTTTCCCCTCCTGCATTTAGCAGATCTGAGCCCTGGCTGCCATCTTTTGTTTGGCCAAACTCCTAGACACCATGGAAGGTAGGAGACAGATTAGTGACAAAAACACACAAAGAAATATGAATGAATGCGTACAAGTACAGTGAACTAAATGTGCACCTTTACAAATAGAACACATGTATTTGAACTAAGAATAAAGCCATATTGCAAACTAAAGTATGTCTTTGGATTAATAAAGGTGCATGTGTAGTACAGACTTCTAAGGTGTGGCCATAAGTTTGGCCATCACAGCCATGTTTATCTTTCTTAGTTTTGTGATATCGATGGTCCTAAAAATGCTTGAATCTAAATATATATATTTTTTTTTTCTCAAGGGTACCTTATTTTAAACTTTCCGTTCAACCTCATTCTAACTTCTTAAGATTCTCAGTCCCATGTGAAGTATGACCCAGTATGACCGACCAAAGTACCTCTAAGTAACCTCTCTTTGGTATCTATAATTTAATGGATTCTCATTTGTTAAAGTAGACTGTGTTATAAAATGTTTAATAACTTAAAGGTTATGAACCGATTCACTGTCATGATTTTGGAATCGCAATATAAGGAGCCAAACTACAAAGACACAAATATAATGAAAGGACAAATCAACTAGCAGCTAGTGCTCAGAGCATCAGCTGAATATTTTGATTGACTTAAAGAAAGTTTAGTCTGCTTTTATCTTTTACTTCATGCCAGGAGTGGGCAGTTCCAGTTCCTGAGGGCCGGTATCCTGCAACTTTTAGATGTGCCTTTGGTTCAACACAGCTGAATCAAATAATTAGGTGATTAAAACGACTCTGGAGGAACTGGCTGCATACTGAGGAGGTATCTCACCCATTTGATTAGGTGTATTGGACCAGGGGTCGACCTAAAAGTTGCAGGATACCGGCACCGAGGAACTGGGATTGCTCATCCCTGCTTTATGCTGTCACTCTAAATCAGGCATCCCCAAAGTCTGTCCTCGAGGGCCGCTGTCCTGCAGGTTTTAGAGGTTTCCCTTCTTTAGCACAGCTGATTCCCATGATTGCAGTTCAGCAAAAGCCTGATAGTTAATCAACTATCAATGTAAATCAGCTGTGCTGTAGCAGGTAAACTGAGGAAGGCTGAGAAAAATGAAGGCTTGGTGGGCCATTTTGTTTTTAGCCCTTTGTGGCTGTCTTATCCCCCTCACTGAAGCCAGCAAATTCCCAGAACAGACTTCATCAGCACTTGTTCTTCCTTTTGAGCTCCAGTAAAAATGAACCATCCGCACACACATCAGAAAGCTATGAAGCAACAAACCTTATGAGCTAGTATTAAATTAAATCAACAATCAATGTTTGGTTTCCAAGCTATCCTGGTCATCGTGGATTTAGATGTATTATGGTATAACTAATGCAATCCACACAGAATATTTGTATAATCTGTGTTTTTTTCCTAAACGAGGATCATGACACTTTCTACCAAAAAATAAATGAAGCAGAAACTTGTATAGTTACTCGAGTTTCTGCTTCTAAGCAAACAGTGTAGTTGACAGTGGATCAGAAACAGAGAATCCCAGATGTACAGTTGGTGCCTGTTCATCCAGTAAAACCCACCGAATGAAGTTGGTGTCAATCTGTCTGTTTCTGTGTCGAAAGTTCTGTCCTCCCTGACTTGCCTAAAGGTATCAAACTTCATATTCAGGAGCAAGTGCTTTAAGTTTTTGGTTCCCTAAGCATTCTGCAAACATTAATTTAAAGACTTTGCCGGCTGATAATCTACTGTGTCAGTTGTTGTTTTGTCATCTAAGCGTAATTGGATTCAGCGTTGGCAGCATATTCTGGAGCACTGAGTGGTTTATGCCCAATTAATAAATGCTCGTTGCTGGCTGGAGCCTGGCATTCCTCCTGCAGCTCACTGCTAATTATTTGGAGCGCATTATTATTGACTGCCTTGAATAAAGAGAACCCAGAGTGGTGGCAAAGCAGTCCTAAAATGATCATCGGTGTTATTCTCTGTGTCTGTTTTGTTTAGTTTTTTTGTCCCCAAGCTTTTCCTGCTTATAGTTTGGCTGCTCTCGTAGTGTCCCTGCCACGCTGTCCTTTTCATTTTCCTTTTCCACCCGGACCCGCTGTCGTCTCGTTGCTGTCACAGCGTGTCAGAGCAGGTGAAATCAATTACTGACCCTCAGAGGCCTACTCCCTTACCACAACTAGCTTTTTAATAGAGAGAATTAATGAGCGATCAGCGTGTGAGATGATTTGGTGTCATGGATCTAGCTCTGCTGTGTGTGAGGGAGGAAAGCTGGGGGGGGGGGGGGGGGGGGGGGTGTTTGCCCCGACCCTGCATTTCTAATTCTGTCCTTCCACAGAGGTGGTTGAGGCAGTTCCTTCATTCTCTGTCTGCTAATCACCTCTGAGGTTGGGGAGAAAGGAAGGAAAGACACAGTGGTACAATGAACCACTTAGTTTTTTTTTCTGTAGAGGATCTCTTATAAAGGCTTAATGAAACAGCAGAATTTCTCTGTTCTTTTCCTTTCTTTGTGGGATAATACTCAGCATCAGCTCTGTATGGGATCATAAAGAACATTCTAAAGTGTGTCACGTCTTCCTTTCTCCTGTCTCAAACCTCCTCGTCCTTCTCCACAGATGGAATCTCCCGTCTCCACGCCAGCTCCTCCTCCCCTCCACCTCCTGGCTGCGGTCGGCAACAGCGAAATAGCCTCGCCTTGTGAGCAGATAATGGTGCGCACGCGCTCTGTGGCGGTGAACACGTCCGACGTGGCCCTGGCGACAGAACCCGAGTGCTTGGGGCCGTGCGAGCCTGGCACCAGCGTGAACCTTGAAGGCATTGTGTGGCAAGAAACTGAAGACGGTAAGAGAAGTGGTTTAACATAATACTCAGAAAATCTCTTCCTTGTGAAACACATTAGTTCTGCTTTTTTTTTTTTCCCTTTTTACTCAAAAGCAAAGTTGTGAAATGTTGGGGGATGAACCTAACTGGGTTCTTTAACAAAGCACTTGAGCAATTAGACTTTTCAGTATAACAGCAGAGCTCAGTTATCGAGTGGTGTTGAACTGCCCTGTAAGTATGGTACCTAGGTTTTTAATTTTCACTATAGTAGAAGCTGTTTATTTAAAAAGCTGGTATGATGTGTGTTTTGAATGGTTGTCTTCCTTGTGGACCCAGTTCTATCCATACTTCGACCAATCGTCTAATTTTTGAGTAGAGTTTAAGTAGGGAGAAAGTGGAGGAAAGCTTTAAAGCAGCATAACTAAAGTTCTCTGCATGTTTGGCCACCCTGGTGATAAGGGAAGAGGGTCATAACCTGGTATTTTACCTTTACAATCCTTCTAAAATAGATTTTAAATAAATGTTTTAATTATTTATAGCTGGAAAAAAAGGAATTAAAAGGAGCCCGCTTAGTCCCATTTTTTTTTCTCACACGCTGTAGTTTAGCTTGTGTTTATCTATGCCTCTTCATTTGCTCTACCTTTAACACATGAGGATGTAGCATTTGCTATATAGGAAGTGTGTCATGGCCATCTTTACCATAATTTCTCTGTCTCTTACACAATGGGTAGGAAAAGCTGCATAACCTGCATATGTTACGGACTGCCTGCAGGTGAGCCCCTGATAGTTGGAATTGTGGTGATAGCAAGGTGGGCTAATGTTAGCATCCTTCCACAAATTATTTCAATCCAGATGGAGGATCAGAATGAACAAAGAGCAACTGCAAAAGGCCTTAGCAATCCCTGTCTTTAGCTGCGAATACAGTTTTTTACTTAGAGGTGTAATGTCGTTTTAGGTCAATTGTTTAACTTTATCATTAAGACGATATGTTGTTCCTGAGACCACAGCCAGAGTTTGTGGCACTCCAGAGGAAAATGGACATATTCATTTTGTTGATGTGGATTCTCTGTTCTGTTTGTTCTCGTTGGATATTTATTAAAATGAATGGAGATAAAAGCTTTCGAGGTTTAATTATATTTTTTTTAAATAAAAAGTAGTTTATGATGGATTTTATTTATTTTTTTACCTTGTCTGTCAAAGAAAACATTTAGCCACTTATTAGAAATATCCCCTAAAACTTACTCTCGTCATATTCAGACTTCAGTTTGTCCTTCTTCACAGCAGAAGGCAAAAATAAAATCTTCTTACTCATGTTTGGAGTCTGATGAGGTTTGAGGTGCAATTGTGGTCATTTGTGATTCATCTCTAGAAACGTTTATTTTGCTAATGCAAGCCGTAGCAGCAGACTCAACAAAGTAGCCTGGTGAATGGGAGGCAGATTACACTTCTGCAACTGAAACATCAAATGTTGCTTGGGTCCTGTTTTTTGCTGGTATGCTTCTGCACCATCGGTCTGGAACTTCTAGGGATACACTGCAGTTTCCCAGCAAAGCGCAAGGGGGAGCCTATTCTAGTACTCTTAAGAACTTTGGCAGATGGTCACGAGAACTTCTCAGGCGGTGCCGGCGGGAGTGTTTTTTCCCCAAAACAACAATAGCGCATCTGCAAGATATCACGGTCACGTAGATGGATCTAGAGTTGCTAGACATCGAAGAGGAACAGGTTCTGTTAACATAGTTGACAAAAAGACAGATTAACCTTTCGTCATATTTGTCCAATGTAGTTGTTCCTCGGTGTTTAAAAATCAAGGACCAACCACTGCTGCTTTTTGTCTTCAGGTTTGCGAGCGTCCGACGCGTAGTCGTGTTGTTTTTTTTTGCACAGAGACAGATTTGACGGTTGCAGAGGCTATGCGTCAGAAGCATAAATTAGCCTTAAGAGCACACAGCACGTCATCAAAAAATACACCAGGGAATTCGACTCCAATCTCACTAATGAGCTGACCAATAGAGCCAGTAGACTAAACTTTCTTAAAAAGATGCAAGGTAATTTTTGACCTTGGGAAAATGGCAGGCCATGCATGCGAAAGAAAAACTTTACCTTTGAATTTGCATAATGAACCGATAATGATTCTGCATTTAACAGCTCCACATTATAACACCACCACCATGCTCGTACAGATAAAAGCCTCACCTTTACTGTACTAGAATATGCCGAATACCTCATAGACATTATGCTTATTTGTAATGGCTGCTGTAAATGTTGATGCATGTTGATTTTAGAGCACAAATGCCCATCTTGGTAAACAGCCTTAACATCCATCTTAATGAGAAACAGTTTTTCTCTGATGTAAGAGACACCAATGTTTCAGCTAGATCTGTAGGCTTTTGATCATCCTAATTTAATTTAAGACACGTCAGAAATACCTTAGAATTTGTAACATAGCCTTAATAATGAATGTGTAGATTATTCTAAAAAGACATGCGTCATTAAAGGCAGGGAATTAAAATGGTCAAGCCAAAGATAATTGTATGCAAACTTCTGACCTAAGTGTACACGGTGACTGTTATGTAATATATCAAAGAATTTCTTTTTAAAGGTTTATGTCATTACTGTTTATATGTTTCCTTTTGAAATCTGGAAATGGTGGTGGTGCCAGTTTGTGCTTTAACAGCACATACTGCATTATACTGCCTGGCAGAAGTTGGCAACAAGTTCTTAGGTAGCCTTGATTTGTTTTTCCTGCCAGCGAGTGTGTAGATGAGTTTGTTGCACAGAGATATCTACTAGAAAACATCATGCCTCTATAACAAAGCTGTGTTTGTGTGTGTGTGTGCTTTTTTATTTGTTTTTTTTTGTTTTTTTGTTTCTTCTTGCAATCCTGCCAGTTGGGAATAGAGTTGGCTCATCTCCTGCGGTGCAATCTGAGTGAAATCTTATTCACTCTCTTTCCCAGCCTTTGATTGAAACCACATTGAGCTTATTTAATTTTAAGATGTATCAGTATCATTATCAGGTTCTGTTGGATCTGAGAAACCCGGCTCAACATTTTTTTCCCTTCCTGTTGTGCATGTGAAATAATGCAAATAATGAATCTTCAAAGCAGCTGGCGCTCAGCCGCTCTGCGGGCATGCTGAGTACAAATCGCCCACACATCCACAGTTGCTGTCTGTTGGTTCACTTTGAGGATCCAAAAAAGGATGAAAAAAAAAAGCTCTTTGCCTCATCAACATTCCCAAAAACAGTCCCTGCCATTGAGGGGCTTTTCCTCTTCTATCCTTCTTTTTGATTTTTGCTCCCGCTCTGAGCCGTGTTTGATTCCCTCCTTTTCTCCTCTCTTCTGTTACCAAGCATCCAGCCGGTCACCCCTTGACTCTGTATCCAGGCAAAGCAGGAGAGAGTTGGTGCATGGCGTGGGGGAGGAGGGCTGAGTTGGGGAAGACAAGGCCACTTCTGTTAGTGACACAAACATGGCTCTGAGCCAACACCAGTACTATGCCGTTCTCCCTCATTCTCTGCCTCCCACAGAGTGATTGAGCCCCCCCTTTGCCCTACCCCCTTCCCTTTCCCACTACCAAGCCTGTCCTTCGCCTGCACTCTCTCTCTCTCGCTCTCTCTCTCTCTCTCAAGCTGGTATTTTGGCTGAAAGAGGTAGTGGTTTGGTCTGGTGAAGCTGTGTTTTCCTCTGATTCTGTCCTGTCTGACTCAGTGGGGAGGACGAAGGTGGATGCTTTTAGAGTGGTTTTTAAAGTGGTGAGGTGGGGGTGCTTGGAGGTGGGGGGAGGGCACTCTGCAGGTGTAGCACACAGGTTGTTATGGCTGTCAGAGCTTTAGAGACCACTCGGGTAAGATTACAAGTGCACTCGCTTTGAAGATCCTTTTTTTTTTTTATCTAAGAGGAAAAAGACTTGTCAGGCAGACAGAATTTATTCCTGTCAGGGTTTTATACTTTAAAAATTAACGTTAGAGAACTTGATAGGAAGGGTTACATGTGGTATAGCTTTAAATTTATTTTCTATCTTTTTATGTTGATATATAATAGTGGCTCTATTGTTGGAATGGGTTGGATAATCATGTTGTGTAAGTATGTTAAAAAAGCAAATGTATTCAGTTTATTAATAGGGGAGATTTTTGTCAAAGACAAATTAATATGTTAGCTCAGAGAAACTGATGGGTTACATTGAATTTATAGACGATCAGTCCTTGCGCCACTATTGAAATGTTGAATTAAAACCACAGGTAAAATATGGTTATAAAAAACTTGGGGTTATTTATAGGCCTACAGCACCACTTGCTTTTTGTGCTTTGAAACCAATTCATATTTATGTTGTTAATCAATGCGTGTCAGATTTGTCATTCTTTATAGACAAATGGATATAATAGATTATGAACTTAAAGGTTCTTTTAATCTATAAAACTGCCGGTTTATGAAAAATAACTGACACAGCACTTCAAAACAACTGTGGTTTTTCTTATTTCTGTGCTGCTCATTTTAAATATCGGCTACAATGTTACTCTAATAACTAAACCTGTTACTTAGAGATACATTAATGTATGTGTTTGATCCCAATGATCAGGTTAACCGTTAAAAGCACCCAATGCAACATCTAAATAATATAGAGAGTAATATCTGTTCATGAAATGAGAATATAGTTTTATATGGTGGCATCAAAGGGTTGAAATCTGTGCTAAACAGCTAAGATTTTTACTCATGTTTTGTTTACAACTTTATGGAAAGCTCTGTGGACACGAGTGATCTAGCTAACAGAAATAAAACAAGTAATTTTTTTATGTATCATTGCCACATATCGATATTTTGGAAGATTTTGAAGGTTGTTTATATTTATTCAGCAGTTTGTTGACATAAATGTCCTTTCAGTCCTGGTATATTTGAATAGATTAACACATACAGAGCCGAGGTACAAAGCAAAAAACAAACGTGTTTAAAACCCGGATATCATTTTTTTTTCTATAACCAAATAATTAGTTTTTATCTTAAGAGACTTTATGGTTTCCATCAA